AGGGGGTGGGGGGAGGGTTGGGGGGTGGGGAAGCATGGTTGTCTTAACTAAGACAACAAACACTACCTGCTGAAGCCTCTTTATGGTCAGTCTGTGAATCTTCACTGGGATACCCAACCCTCTACATACTCCTTCCATTGACCACCAAATCTGCTGTCCTAATATGTTTTCAAAAAAATCTTTCAAGACTCAAAATATACTATGGAAAGGCATTAAGAAAACTAACATGATGCCCTTACAGAAACTGAATCTACTTTTTAACCAGTTCTTGGAGTGAAAAGTCTATAATAATGTCAAATCCTCCCCTTAACCTACACTGCCTGCATTCTACAGGACCAAAACTAGAGACATGCAATTGCAGCAGGATGACTTACAGAAAAACATTTCTTTCTCTTTGTATGTTTTCACTCCCAAGTTTAAATGTTCATTTTACACTTAATGAATGTAAAGGAATTGTAAGTCTTCCAAGAAAAATAGCAATACTCATTAATTCTGACCCTGTTTCTGAAATGTCCTCCACAGAAATTTCACTTTAGTTCACTGAATTAAGAGTCCTGCAAAACCCTTTCAAGATGGTACTTTCATATTTAGACCTCTATCTTTTGCTTTTAGCATTAATACCAAATAAGTATCTGTTTGGTGATTTGGCCACTAAAACTTGGTAAGAAAATTCCCTTCCCAGTAAATGCGGGCTACCTTCCAATACCTTTTACAGCATTACCAAAACCTGCAGACTTACCAGACCACCTTTTTTTTTTTAACCAGTTTTCCTACAACAGACAAGAAGCATCCATAGCCGCTTATTCTTTCTAAGTTAGTGTCTAAGGGGCCACTAAGAAAGATCAAGGACACGATTTCCATTCTTGTTCCTCAGCCAAGACTCTATAATTAGCCTAATACTAAGAATACTCTGTCCAGGAATGACTTGTGAAACAGGACTACATTGCTTAGGTTGAGATCAAAGATCCTGAGTATGGCTACTATCCCCGGAGTTCGCTCCGGCCGAAAGGTCTGAATCACTCCTACTATTATGCAGTGCTTCTAATAAGCCTAGTCTGACTTTTGGTAAAAGTCAGGCTTTGACCAAACATATTCCTAGGAAACTATCATAACTAGGTATCTTGAAAATATCCAGATCCTCACCACTTTCTCTGCATAGATCCTATTGGCCAGGAGCCTAGAACTGATGCCCCAGAGCAGTGATCCTGTTTGTCTTACATTCAAAATTCTAAATAAATGTATTGAAAAGGAGAACACTTAGTATTTGTATATTTTATATATGTCCTAGTCAATAAAAGGTGTATAATATTTAAAAAAAAAAAAGGAGAACTTACTTATTCATTAAATATGGATTTCCAAGGTAACCCAGATAATTCTACACATACTGGGCAGAAAAGCCCTGGTTCCCCCAAACCAGGGTTTGAAATCAATACCAGTGGTGGTCCATGCATCAATATAATATTGAATAGCAGACAAACTGTCATAGGACTTAGCTAATAGATTAATAAGGTGGTCAGATTATTTTTGTATTTAAGCAGCTAAAACAATAGCAACCATGGTACTAACAGCTAACACTGAGAACTCACTACATGCTGGGCATTTTACAAGCACCATCTCATTTAATATCCTGTGGCCTTGTAGAGAACTATTTTCTTTCTTTTTTTTTAAACAGATGAGGAAACCAAGTAATTTTGCCAATGTCATCCAAACTGGTTAAAGTAACAAACAGATTTAAGCCCAGGCCTATATTACTCTAGTTCTTGAGTTTTGTAATCCTGCTTTACAAAAAATAAGAAAGGGCAAGGGTATATATTAATTTAAAAAATGGAAAATATCAATCTTACATTTTAATTGGATTTCATGAGTGAACCTCAGTTTTACAACTGACAAATAAATGATTCATATTTTTGATTTTTGATATTTTCCCTATTTCATTTCTTCCAACTTCACATTATCTGTGGTAATTACACTTGACAAGAAAGAGAGTCTCATAAACATGCACTAAGCATAGTACTCACGTAGTCAATGGGCTTGAGAGATTTGACTCTAGATTCTGGGCAGCCGCAGGAAGTAAGGTCAGTATAGAGACCTTCTTCTAACACACACTGATTATCAAAAATGTCCTCTTGGTAGGAGAGGAGCCAGCTAAAAACCAAACAGCAAGACATTCAGTCAAATTGCATTCAGTTGGGAGTACAGGCTCATCATGATACTGTGAAAATGTAGCAGGGCAGGGTGGAGGGGTCCAGGTGCTGACCAGCACCAATTGAAAAAGCAGCAACCACTTTCATTCACTGACTGCTTACCATGTGCTGGCATTAGGCTGCGTACTTTACATATATTATTTCTCTGTGTCCTGAATTAGTCTATAAATTAGAAATATATTCTCATTTTCATTGGCAACAAAACTAAGGATTAGAAAGGCTAGGTGATCTGCCCAAGGTTCCCCACACTATTAAATGATAGAGCTGAAATTTGAAATAAGACATCTGCTTTATGCTAAAGATATTATCTTTTTCTTTGGTACCTGAGATTAAATTACGATGTTTAGTAATATATGAACAGATTAGAAGTTCCTTTTGGGAAAAACACATATTTTTAATATTCGGTCTGGATGAGTATAGAAGCTAGACTTTTTTTTGAGTTGGAGTCTCACTCTGTTGCCCAGACTGGAGTGCAGTGGCTGCTCCCGGCCACTGCAGCCTCAACCTGCTGGGCTCCGGTGATCCTTCCGCTCAGCCTTCCGAGTAGCTGGAACTACAGGCATGTGCTACCACGCCCGGCTAATTTTTTTGATTTATTGCAGAGATGAGGTCTCGCCAAGTTGCCCAGGTAGGTCTCGAACCCGCGGGCTCAGGCAATCCATTCACCTCAGCCTACCAAAGTGTGGGATCACAGGCTGAGCCACCAAGCCCGGCTAAGCTTTAAAATCACATAAGGGTATACAATATCTGTCATCTGCACGTCGGACAGTTAATAAAAAATTTTAAAAAGAAATGAATGCTTTAGAATCTTTGATAGTGAGTTATCTTCAATACACCATTCATCAAAATATCGGCTAAGATATGCCCTTTTGAAAAGAAGGAGCCCAAGGGAGAAACTGGCTGTTACTAATTTAGTTTTGGTGTGTATAAGCTCTAGCCCTATATTTGAAGATCACCAGGACTGTACTAGCTAGACCAGTTTAACTCTGAATAACCACATAAATGTTCTGTGACATTGAAGTTCCCTGTCATGTCTTCTATGTACCAAGCATTTTATAGCCAAAATTTATCAAAGGCTTTGAATGTGCCAGGCATGAAGCTAAGCCCTTCATGTGTACTAATTTATTTAGTCCTTACAAGAACACTTTGAGGTAGGTACTACTATTATCCCTCCTTTACAGATGAGGAAGCCGAGGTTCAAAGAGATAACTCAATTTGTCTAAGGTTATAAAGCTAGAAAATGGTGGAACTGGGCTCACATTCAGGTCTTTCAAGCATTCTAGGTAATTACACAATTGCTGTGGTTCTTGTATCCTCTTATTAAACTGTAGTTGTACACTATTTCCCACATGAAGAGACACGTGACTAATTTGTCCTAGGCTTCAGTGTCAGGAGAGACTTATTTTCCTCCAGAAAAACTTCAATGCTTCTTATTAACAGAAAATAAAGCTAAATCTTGTAAAATATGTTCCTTTATCTTCGTGGAAAAAAACCTCAGAGCCAAGTAATGCTAACAGAATTATTTCGGGTCCTTAGTACATACATTCTTTCCTATTGAAGAGTTGCAGATCATCTATTTAAAGCTTAGTGCCCTTATTTTATGTGTTTTAATGTGGTAAAACTCTCATGCTTTTGTGGGAGGTAAGTATATAGACAATAAGAAATACAGAGAGGCTCAAAGCAAAAGAGCTACAGAAAATATGAGTGGGAAAGGACTGCTTGACATAGAGTTAATCAAGAAGGTAAACAGAGGGAATAGGATAGGCTGAATCTTAAAGGATATATTTGGATTACATAACTGCAGGATACCATGCAGGTAATACAGACAAGCAGCATACCAGGTGGAAAACAATTGAGAATGGTAGAAACTATAGTACACTGGGAGGGAGCACATAAAATCTACTCAATACCAGCCAATTGCTAACAAAGACGAAAGCTTTCCCAAACAAAGCCTTCAAATCTTTGGATTTTAAGAGAAAGTAGAAAACAGGTTCTCCTGAAATACAGCCTAAACATAAGGATACAAAATTTGTTAAATGTAGTATATAGGCCAAACCATTAACATCTGTTAGCTAGATTTACCAGAGACCCCCAATCTTTGGTGTGGAGCAGGTTCAGCAAATTACAGCATGTGAGCCAAATCTGCACCCCACCACCACCCGTTTTCAGATAGCCCATAAGCTAAGACTGGCTTTTTCACTTTTAAAGAGTTTTAAAAAATGAAAAGAAGACTATTTCATGACATGTAAATATTATATACAAATTCAAATTTCACATCCAGAAATACAGTTTCATGCTATGCCCATGTTCTCGTCTATGGCTGCTTTTGTATTCCATGCAGCAGGGGTGTTGGGAATAGCTGGGACAGAACTTGTAGAATCCACAAAGTTGAAAATATTTATTATCTGGCATTTTACAGATAAAGCTGGCAGACCCCTGATGTAGAGGGTCAAATGGCTGAGCAAATGTTGAAAGAAGGTAGGGCAGGGACAGTATGAGGAGAGGATGGAGACACGACAGGGAAAGTGAGGTGTTGACGGAAAAGCCTGAGAAAAGGGGAGCTTGAACTCCATGGACCAGCGCTAGAAAACGACTGTGGGAAATAAAGCAGGTTAATAAAAATCTTAAACTCGATTTTGGGACAAATAATTGGACTATGATTGGTTTGCAGTAAACAAAAGAAGTTCCTTGAGTGAAAAATAGGAGGTCTAGGTCTGTAATGGTCTAAGAGAGAAGGGAAGAGAACTGACAAAACCAAGGCATTTTGGAGGAAGAACAGAAGGATGCTGCTGGGTTATCAGGTGGATGTTTGATACACAGAGATGCCCCTGAATTGTACACATTGCTAAAATGGTAAATTTTATGTTATGCATAGTTTACCACAATTAAAAAATAGAATATATTTTAGCCTTGAGAATCCTAGACTGCTTCATATGTGTGTGAAAAAGATACAGTATGTTGTTACCGTTGGAAGAATATAAGATTCAAAGAAAGAAAAAAAAGAAGAAGCAACCAAAGCAATCCTGATTCTGTGATTTTGACTGTGATCTTGGGAAACCCTAACTATGAATCTGGTTTCCTCATCTGTGAAATAGGGGTAACAAATACTTTAAACAAGCAAAAAATGTCAAAAAAATAAATAAATTTAGGAGTAATATATCATACATGGATAAAAACACTGGTTATATTTATAGAATTTTATTATGCTATACAGTAAACATAAAATATAAACATTCAAAATGTTTAGGAACTAATCTAAGGTAACAGTGAGAAACATAATAATCAAAGGTGCCAAAGTTGGTTAATCAGCATTCTGTTTGTATTCCATAATGACTTAAAATACAAATTAAGCAAAAGTAATTAGACTAGTTAACCAATGCCTAAAAAAGAAAATTTTAAAAATTCACTGTGTATGCAAAAAATAACCAAGTCACTCCCTTGAAAATTGTTTTAAAAAAATTATTAAATAACAGCAGAAAACACCTAGCAAACATACTTACCAACCACGAAGAATTTTAAAAGAATGTGGTGTGAATGAAGTGAAGTCCAAAATTTCTTCTGTAAAATCTAGACCTTCACCTTGGAACCCTGGTTTACTGAATGCTTTGAGCTAAAAGAAAAACATTATGATAATTAAACAGAAAGCAACTGTTTCACATTATCACAAGCAAACAAAAACCTTTAATTTTGAGTACGTATTAAAACTCAGCAAAATATTAGACTCATATTTTATGTATTATAATGAATTCATGTCAAAGACAATGACATTATCCTTAAACTTGCTTTTTTCTTACATGTTTCCAAGAATGGAATGTCACTGTCTAGATACCATTTTCTTTTATATCTTGCACCAAATTGTGAGCACAGAGGCCTAAAAAACAATTCTGCCTGTAAGAATAAATCAGACCTCCTCCTCCACTAAAACATGGCCTTTCTCCATTCCATCAAACAATCATGACATCCTATAGTGAGGCTAGATGTGTAAAATAAGCAATTTAGCACTAAACATGAAAGAGGCTTAGCTAAGTATTAGATAGACGGTGTGTGCCTTTTTTCTCCCCAGGACTTCCTGATCCACAGTTAATAAAGGAGAGAAGAGAGGAGGCAAGTGCCCAGGAGAGCCAGGAGCAGATGGCAGGATAGATAATAATGACGGGATTAGTGGAAGATTTATGGTGAAGAAAGAAAGATGTCTGAGTCATGTATTTCAGCTTACAGACTTCAGTTTTCTGATAAGAATACCTTAAATGCACAGCTTACAGTTACATACAACTACATTCCTACTTTAGTCCTTTTTGTCAAGAAAAATCCATGAAATCTCAACTGTAAATCCCTTTAGACTAGAGACATAATAATCTGCAACTGTAGTAGCCTTGGATCTATAGTAGGAAAGACAAAATTAATGAGCCCTATAAATATTTCATAATGCACCAGAGACTTGAAATAACGTGGCCCACAGGTCCACCCTGCAGTGACAGACCTGCACTGTACCCCAGAGGGCCTCACAATGAACAATCTGCAACACTGCCCTTTTTCCTGCTCACACTGTCATCCACAACAAGGCTTCTCTGAACAGCTGATGTTCAGCTCCCTCATTTTCCCAAGGGTCCTCCCTTAGAAGAATTGTTTCTTGGTGATCTCATTCGTTCTGACCTTCCTTGGTCTGATATCAAACATCAGCCAAAGGCAGGGAGGTGAGAGAACCGATTCCCCCATGACCGACTGAGGCTTGCACAACACGACTTCCTATGGTGAAACCACACTGGACTTGGAGCATTAAAATGTCAAGTGACTCCTTGCCTTAAGGAAATGCGACCCAGCAAGTTTCTGTCATAGTCCTTATGGTAGATACAGAGGATAGTAAGAAAAAGAAAGTCCAAAACAAGACAGGCCTATGTTTTTTTAATTTAAAGGCTTATAAAACATGAGTCTAAAAAAAAAAAAATCACTTTTAACCTCCAAAAATGTAGGAAAATTTCCCTTGCATGCCAATACTACTTAATTCACAGTAAGAATCAGAAAAGCCACATGAGAACAGCGATTGTGCTGTCTTATTCACAACTTTTATTAGCAGTTTGTTGAATTAATTCATTTTATATGCTGAGTTTGAGATTTATACTTCAACATTTCATCATGAAGGCATGAAATGTCAAATCCTAGACTACTGACAATGCAAGTTAAACACATTTCAGATGCTGTACATAGTACTTACTCTAGTTTTTTCTCTCAGTCTTCATATCCAGAAAAATTAATTAACATTTATATATACAAAAATAATTTGCCAAAAAGTATCTCTTTTATTTGATGGGTTAAAATATTATTTGGCTAAACTTAAACTGGATTTAATGCTTATCTGAGTTTATTTTTATACTCAAAATGAGCTGAAGTACATGGTTCAACCCAAGTTAGACCAATCCCAAAAAAGCATGCTCATTTTGATCACCTTATAAATGCTTCAGAATATAACAATTTTCATAATAATGTTCTGAGGATTGTCCACAAAGACACCAACTCTGTGCTTACTAATTACAATAATTAAATTGTACTTTTTACTCTTGGTGAAATTCAGTAACAGAGTTTTCAAGAAATTAAGTAACAAGAGCTTTGGAGAAATTAAGTCCTAAGAAAAATCAACCAGATAAATCACAATGTTGGTTTCCTTTCTAGATCAATGGAGAATAAATACACAAAAACAGCTTGGCTGGGCGTGGTGGCTCATGCCTGTAATCCCAGCACTTTGGGAAACCAAGGCAGAAGGACTGCTTGAGTCCAGAAGTTTGAGATCAGCCTGGGCACGGTCGTGAGACCTTGTCTCACTACAATGAGACAACTGTGCTACCCATTGAAACTGGACTGGATTAAAAAAAAAAATGTGGTACATATAAACAATGGAATATTACACAGCCATAAAGAAGAAAGTATGAACTTTGCAGCAACGTGGATGAACTTAGAGTCTATAATACTCAGTGAGCTAGCATAGAAACAAAGAACTGAGTACCACATGATCTCACTCATAAGTGGATCCTGAACAATTATCACAATACTGTAAGAAAGGGATTGGCAGTTTGCCAGGGGAAGGAGGGAGGGCACACTTCATCAATACAGGTACCTGATCTCAGACCAGATGAAGTGGGGACCAAAGTGAGACCCAAACTTTACCTGTACAATGACCATTTGTATATCTAATACTGAATTGTATCACACATCCTTTAAAAAAAAATTTTTAAAAATTAAAATGGACCATTCCACACATACATACACACACAAAATGGTTACCACTGGTTTGTTTTTTAAATATATTATTGTATTTCTTCCTTAGAACTACTCTTTGAAGCAGAAATCATTACCAGTTTATGATGAACATTTTGCAAAAATGCCCTTGGTATGTCATTTTCATTTATGACATTCATGAATAACATGCGGTAATAGGTATTTAATCTAATATGACAAACTAAAAATGTGCAAACTTAACTACTGACCAAACACAGAAGCTGTGCTCACTTGATTTATTCCACAATATCAGCATCATTTGTAATGTAATTTTATTTACTGCAATACTAGAATAGTTTGAGTAACCTTCTTCCTTGCCTAAATAAATCTTTCTCCAGCCCTGTGGGCCTGCTGCCTACAAACGTGTGGCTTGTCAAAAGAGCAGTTTGTTTCTGTTCTTCTATTACATCACACCTTTCACATCGTGCGGCGTTACGTACTTCTCACATCAACCACATATTCTACAATGATGACATTTCCCTTATCCATCATCAAAGGCTTCCTTTACTTAGATAGCTCTTCATAAGCATTTCTGTGCCTTGCATCCTATAAAATGATCTGGATATAGTGTCAAAAGAAGCGGTTTTCTCTCGACAGCTCTTGAATCTCGTTGATACTTGTCTAAATAGTCCTTTTCCTACCCCTCAAACAGGATAACTGCAACCACAACTATTACTGACCCTGTGATCACTTTAAAATTCAGCGAGGCTAAATTATCCAATATAAGAAAATATCCAGTTGCTTTTCTTGGCTAGAATAATGTATAAAATGGAACAAGGACTCAATATTTAAAGAAATCCAGAATTAATTAATTATATGTTATATATAAGTGCTATAATAATTATATTGTTATCTATAATATAATCAATTATATATTAATTATATCATTACTTTTAATATAGTTTATCATGTAATTAATTATACTACAAGTATAGTTATGTTAATAAATTATATTGTAATTACTATAATTATGTTAATTAATTATATCTGTAAATGGACTTGAAGAAGATTCTAGAAACACAAATTACTCGGTTGGGTCAAAGGAGGGAACTGAGCAGAACTTCTAGAGAATGGTGCCTATCACCTCCCTTGAAAACTAAATTTACTCCTATAACACTTAACCTAACAATTTTTCTGATATTCAGGACTTGAGAGAGAGAGAGAGAGAGAGAGAGAGAGAGAGAGGACAATATGAAGATGATCGTCATTCTTTTTGGTTTTTGTTTTGTCTGGGGAAAAGACAAAATGCCACCTGCTGCTGATGAGGTACTCTATAATGACCCTGCACATCCTCAGTCAGTAATCAGACCGAGTGAATGAGCTCCAGTCTTACAGCCTTAGAACAGTCAGCAACAATATTTTTGTTATCATAACTTGTGATGTATATCAATCTTTACACATATACATTTTCTGGTTTTTCCAACCAGAATAAAAAAAAGTCCTCTCTGACTTGAACCCTGAGATATCACTTCCTCCTCATTGCTCAGATAAAGAAAATCGTAGCCTTTGTGAACACAGCATCTGTGCTGCCGATCTCACTGTCATAGCCTCCCGTGAAGGAGAAGATACTTTCCAGTTACTGAACAGAACCATAGTGTCAAGCCAAGATCCGTTCGTTTGTTTATGTTTAGCTTAGTATGCATGAGAAAAACTTCTGAAAGTTTGGTCCTCTGAAAATAACCAGAACTTTGATACCGGGTAAACAAAGAAGGCTTTGTTCGTGGGTTACTAAATACTCAGCAATCATATACCTGTCAAAAACGCTTCTTTCACAAAACCATAACTGAGCAATACCCAGGAAAGAGAAGTGGGGCTGATTTCACTGGGTGTTTTCTGTGGCTTCCTTTCTCTTCAAGTTGGACTGGAAATACTATAAAGAAAATCCTCCCAGCAATCAGCCTCAAACAAGGAAGTCCATAAAAAAAAAGAAAGGAGGTAGGAGGGGGAAAAACAGAGCTTACAAGAATGGGAGTTTTTATGTGTGCTTAAAGGTAAAAAAAAAAAAACCAATAAAATAAAATTAGAAAATTATTGCTGTTTAACTCTTTTATCTACTCATATTATTCATGTGAAAAAGTGCTTTTGAAATTCACAGTCATGTGTTTTCAAAATTTCAAAGTAAAGATCTGGCAGGAAGTGTTTTTAAATACAACTCAATTATATTCAGAAAGGAAATGCTCCCAATAGGCCTGAGTTAATCAGAAAATAATAAAACCCGAAAGCATTGTGAATGGAAATATGGTTAAACAAAACTAGTCTGAAATAGATAAACACTGACATGAATATGAAAAACACACACATTCAGAGAAAAAGATTGCGCATTATGTAATGGCAGCAAAAATTAAATATTTAAGATGAATCACTATATTTGGCCTTTTGACAGAAGTTTTTCTGAATTTAAAGTGAAACAGAAAGCAATATCTGTCACCTCATCTTTCTTCTACGGTTGTACTGTTTGTATCATGAAATGTCTTTCTGTGATATGGTTTTGTCAAATAGAGTCAGACACTAGAAATGTCTCCTTTGGATTGCTAGTAGTGGGAAACTGCCAGAGGGGAGCACATCTCATCAATAAGGGAACCTGCATGATGAACATTTGTATACCTAATCCTGAATTGTAACCCTCATCTTTAAAATAAAAAAAATTTTTTAAAGGAATGTCTTTTTTGCTACTTCTAGTTGTGTAGTATGGCACTTGCTTAAATTTGGAATCTCAGTTTTCTTATCTATAAATGGGATTAACACTGACCTCACTTATTAGAAGTATTAAATAGGCACAATTACTAGTTCTCAATAGAAAATAAACATTAGGCTCCGGAGTACTGCTCGATCCCCTTCAAACCATTATGAACACACTAGAAATAAAAATAGGGTTTCAACTTCACCAGCTCAGAAACGTGTGATGTAGGCCTTAGAAACACACGTACGTCATAAGCATGCAAGACAGCAATTTCTCCATGGCAAGTTTCCTCCTCCAGAAACAATTATATATTCTCTAAGATGTGACACTGAAGAAAGAATAGGCAATAGGAAAGAAAGAATGACAAAGGGTCAAAATGACCCTAAATTGATCAGAGCTGTGGCTCTTTCAGGAACAAACAAAAGGAAATGTAACAAACCCAGTCTAACCAAGATGGGCACTCTTCCGCTCACTGGTACTGACACTGCCCTACCATACAGACACACAAAAGTTAACTGAGGGAAAGAGAGATATGCGGGAAAGGGTATAAACACTCTTAGTAAACATCTTAATAATTACAAGTTAAAAATATTTTTAAACATACCAAATGTGGAGGCTCATTTATCCCAAGTGGTTCCTGAAAAATAGATTAAAACATTAAAAAAGTTATAATCATATAACCTTAGTTGTCTTTTTGAGTGTTTTGAAAATATCCCTTGAAACAGAATTTTAAAGATCTCACCAATTTACTAGATTTCTTAATCTGCCTATGACCCTCAAATAACCCACGGAATTATCTTGCAATAATTTTAGTATTTATGACTAATTCATTTTGAGTAATAATGTAGCTGAAAGAAAAATATGCCCCAATGTCCATTACAAAGATGGAGCACGAATTCTGACCATTGTCTCCTGGGTACTCTTACTGTTCTGCAGTGTTTGTTATCATCCAAACAGGCCATGCTCTTTCATGACTTCATGACTTTATATACAATAAGATTATTTCTCTTTGTGACGCACCCTTTCTGCTTTTATGCTTTTTTTACCCTAGCTGTCACTCGATACATCCTCTTTTGTGGCAAGGTCTCTGACTCCCTGGGCACCAAGTGCTCCCTTCCCCTCTCCCTCTGCACTGAGCACACACTTCATTTTCTCACTAATCATGCTATCGCTAAATGTCCATACATCTACCTCCCCTAAGAGACTGAGACACACCAGGGCAGTTGTATTCATCTTTTATCTTCAATGATCAGCATAGTGTCCAACACATGAGAGTCATAAATAAATGTTGTTGAATGAATGAACCGATCAAATTACGGAACCATTTCATTCATATGTTCATATCTACTAGCTCTCTGTGTGGTCTACAGACATTCATGTGATGTTGCATTTTCTCTCTACATACACACACGTAACATAACTCAACAATTCCACTTTTAAAAAGTGTGTTCCACATATTCAATTGCATATCATTACATGGCACAGCACTGGCTATCTTCATATTCCACTCACCAGCTGGATAGGCCGTATGGACATGATTATATTATTTGACCCTCCCCAGTCGAAAAAGCATTTGTATTTCCCTTTCTCTAAAATGTATTGTTCTCCACAGAAGAACTTCTGCTGGTAGGCAACCCATCTAGCAGGGGAAAAAGAAAAAAAAAAACAGAGGTGATTTATAATCAAGTGAACAATACTTTTAAACATCAACGAACTTTTCCCAGTTCTTGGAGTAGGGGGCAACTTACACTCCACTTTTAACATGAATGGATCTTGTTTCACTGCCAAAGCCAATTTCTTCCAAGTCAGAAATTTCCTGATTTGTAATGTCAATAAACTTCCCACTTTCTAGGTCAGAATCAAACAGTGTAATAGAAGATTCTATAAAATTCTAAAAAGAGGAAGAGAAAAATTTAGGAAAACATGCATTTTGTTTTATGGACTACTATTTATCTTAGCACAATTTCCCATACTTGTGGGATCATTTTCACATAAATAACTGCTGCAAGAATTTTAAATGGCACAGGAACGATTTTATACTTACTAATTCTATATAGTTTAAAGGGAAAAAGGGGCCTGGATTTACTTTAATCAAAAATATAGTACATTTTTTAATAAATGCATATTAGTCAACAATTGGTAAACTGCTGGGACTTACAGGCTATTATATGCAACACTGATTGTAAAGAAAACTAGTCTCACTTGTGCCTAAGAAACAAAACCACATGAAACAAAAGTGAATATATAATGTACTGTGGGAAATGTATGAGAGGACTTTTTGAGTTTAAATGTAACAGAAAAATAGGTATAATTTGCATAACAAAAACTGTTTATTAAACAATCAAAATGAGGATTAAAATGTAAAATATTTTATAGTGGCTCAACATACTTAAAACAGAAATATTTTAGAAAATTCCTATAACCCAAATAGATAAATTAGCAAAAGATGTAGATAATTCATGAAAGAAAAAAGAATAAGATTAAAAAGAAATATGTAAATATCTAGTTTCACTAGTAAATTAAAGAAATTGAACTGAAAGCAATTAGATAAAATTTTTCTTTTTTTTTTTTTGAGTTGGAGTCTCACTCTGTTGCCCAGACTGGAGTGCAGTGGCCGCTCCCGGCCACCACAACCACAACCTGCTGTGCTCTGGCAATCCTTCCGCCTCAGCCTTCTGAGTAGCTGGAATTACAGGCACCCCTACCATGCCTGGCTGATTTTTTGATTTATTGTAGAGATGAGGTCTCGCCAAGTTGGCCAGGCAGGTCTCGAACCCGCGGGCTCAGGCAATCCACTCACCTCAGCCTCCCAAAGGCGTGGGATTATAGGCTAAGCCACCGAGTCCGGCTAAAATTTTCATCATTTAAAACTAATTTAAGAAAGACTTAAAAATCTAGTCAAAAATAATTATTGGTGGAAACATGAATTGAACAACTAGTTTAGAAAATAATTCCGAAATAGATTTAAAAGAAATTGTTCACACTCTGAAATTCCTTTTTTGAGTTAAGCTTCTTAAAGGAACTAAATGGTGAGCAAATTATATTAGGTTGGTGCAAATGTAATTGCAGTTTTTTGCATTGTTGAAATTTGCCATTTGAATGTATTCTTAATAAATGTGGTTAGGTTACACATCATTTTCATGTGCATTTCTCACTTTATGGCTTTTTGCTAATACTTACTACTTGCTGTTTATTTTATATTTATTTTAGACTATGGAAATGATGTTAGACAAAAAGCAAATTTGAGCAATTTTCTTATTCAAGTTCAAAATGGGTTGTAAAGCAGAGGAGACAATTGCAACATCAACAACACATTTGGCCCAGGAACTGCTAATGAATGTACATTGCCATGGTGGTTTAAGAAGTTTTGCAAAGGAGATGAGAGCCCTGAAGATAAGGAGTGTAGTGGCCAGCCATCGGCAGTTGACAGTGACCAATTGAGAGCAATTATCAAAACTGATTCTTTTACAACTACTCAAGAAGTTGCCGAAGAGCTCTACATCAACCATTATGATCATTAGACACTTGAAGCAAATTGGAAAGGTGAAAAAGCTCAATAAGTAGAGGCCTCATGAGCTGACCAAAATTTAAAAAAAAAGCCATCATTTTAAAGTGTCATCTTCTCATTTTATACAACAGCAAACCGTTTCTCGATAGGAGAGTGACATGCGACAAAAAGTGGATTTTATACGACAAACAGATCAGTGGTTGAATCAAGAAGACGCTTCAAAGCACTTCACAAAACCAAACTTGCAGCAAGAAAAAGGTCATGGTCACTGTTGGGTGGTCTGCTGCTAGTTTGATCCACTACAGCTTTCTGAATCCTAGCAAAACCATGACATCTGAGAAGTATGCTCAGCACATTGATGAGATGCACTGAAAATGGCAACATCTGCAGCCGCACTCCAAGACACTGCCCGACCACACATTGCACAACCAATGCTTCAAAAGTTGAATGAATTGGACTACAAAGTTTTGTCTCATCTGCCATATTCACCTGATCTCTTGCCAACAGACTACCACTTAAGCATCTTGACAACTTTTTGCAGGGAAAATACTTCTACAACCAGCAGGACACAGAACATGCTTTCTAAGAGTTCACTGAATCCTGAAGAACAGATTTTTACACTACAGGAATAAACAAACTTATTTCTCATTGGCAAAAATGTGTTGCTTGTAATGGTTCTTATTTTGATTCATAAAGATGTGTTTGAATCTAGTTATACTTTAAAATCCACAGTCTGAAACCGCAATGACTTTTGCACCAACCTAATATATTATTTAGAACTGTGAGATGTTTTTAGCAATGTAAATGTCCAAAAGATAGCTTGATGAACTTTTATTACACCTATCTCTTGATGTAATATTAAATATAAATAGAAGTTTTAAACAACAAGTTTTGACAGTTAAATTTACACATACTACTGACCAGGAGCTTTATGTACATTTTTCCAAAAAAGCCATCCTATGAGATTGTCTTACTATCATTTCCATTTTCCATCTAAGGACACTGAGTGATTGCTGGGGGCCACACAACTAGTGAGAGGCTGAGACTGAATCGGAGTCCTAATCTGTCTATTTATCCTATGCTTTTAATTATGGTCAGATATAAATGTAAGAATGAAAGAGTAGGACAAAAGTCCCAAATTACAAACATTAATAAGATTACAAACATGCAAAACAAAACAAAAACCAATTTCCACTTAAAAAGACTATGAAATTTTTTTAAAAATCCAGAGTTGTTATCTTTGGGTACAGGGAAAATGAACAAGTTTACCTCATGCTTTTTTCCAAATGTTTATAATATGTACATTTTAAATTGGCAAATAGAGAATACATTTAAAAAACAAACTTCTCCCCCATTACTTGTTTGTAAGTCAAGTCTTAGACCTACAGAAAATGTTATCAACTTCTGCAAGTCTCAACAATATCAATTTTCTCTCCTTTTTAATATATTATAATATAATCTAGGTATAGAAGACTTTTAGGTAAGCATTCATTTAACATGAACAAGCAAAACAGGGTCCAATAAAACAAGGCATCTACAAGAAGGGGAGAAATAAGTTTTAAAAATTCATTTGTATGTACTACTTGCCAACTTTCAAGAATTTTTACATTGCTGACATAACTGGTTCAACTTTAATTTAAAAAAAAAGATAAAGGCCTTTTTACCTAAAATTTTTATTGTAAAACAATTTCTAACCTATGATTGTTTTCTTGATCCCTCCTCGAGAGTAAACTGTAGGAACCTAAGAGTATCTGTCACCTTCATTACTTTCACTTAGTTCTTAAAAAAATGGTAGCTGGATAGAATCATGCTTGATCGATCATCTTCACCATCTCCCTTTTGATTACCTAACACTTTAATTTCAAAACACTTTTGCATCTATGTATTTTGAGCTCTCATCAGCTCTGATTTTATACACAAACAGGCATATACATATTACAGATGCATATTATAGATAGAGAAACTGAGGATGTAAGAAGTTAAGTACTGTGCCCAAGGCTAGAACAGTGATTTGAGGACAAGTCTGTCTTACTCTGGGACCAATGCCACACTATTCATTTCCTATTGTTCCAAAATGTTTACACTTAACAAGTATTCTAACAGTGGAAAACTGGATTTCATCTCATCTAGGGCTTATTAGCATTTCATTTGTAGCTTAAAATATTGGGGTTGTACATGCATATGAAGGGGCACCCAAAAAAACCCAGGAATTATCTTTTAGAGGGCGGGCCCCTTGCAGTATATTCAGAATTTGTTACTCTGGATCAAATGGTCAACTAAAGTTTTTATCTAGAAGTTTCAAGAAGGTTGCCTCATGATTTGCAGAAAAACATCCCGAGTTGTGACAAACAAATGACTGGTTATTCCATCATGACAACACACCCACCCACACCACGCTGAGTGTTCTGCGGTTTTTGACCAAATATGGCATGGTCCCCATGCCCCACCCTCTCTATTCACCCAATCTCACCCCAAGCAACTTTTTTTGTTTCCCCGATGAAAAAAGTCCTCAAAAGGAAATGTTTAGCTGATGTGAAGGGGTGAAACAAAAAACAACAGAAGCACTAAAAGGCATTCAAATTGACAAGTTCAAAAACTGTTTTGAGCAATGGAAAAATCATCTTGATCGGTGTATTATATTAAATGTAGAGTATTTTTGAAGGAGAGGTTTAAGCATGAAATAATAATACACAATTTTTTATAAATAAATTCCAGGTTTTAAGGGGTCCCTCCTCATATATACCATTTTCCAGATGAGAATATCCAAGCTTTAATAGCCTAAAGATGATGTATCTTAAAGTACCAAGAACAAGTCTTCTATCTGGAACATGATGTTTACAACATGGCTTCCACATCAACAAATTTGACTATACTGACAACAAAAACCTCCATCATCCCAGGAACCTGAGTATGCCTCTGTTCTTGGCAGCCTGAAAGTGTTGACTAGCTCAAGGCAACTGGCGGTATATGGTGCAATGATGATGGCTGGAGGGAGCTCACAGTAGGTCTTGGTCAGGACCCAGTATCAATAGTCCCCAATAGAGTCAGTACCACCACAATGGAAAGTTTCTTCAGCAGCTTACAAGGATGAGGATCCCACCTCTCCCATTCTGACGACTCTGGGACTCTCGCTCTTTGCTTCTATGTCTTCTGTCCCTATAACTACTTATTCTCTATTCCATTAGAATTGTAGAATGGGAAAGAAGGGAAAAGCTGATATCATCATCATTGTTACACTGCAGTAAAACAGAAGAACACGGCAATGTAATTACAGATATGTGCCTGTATGCTGAGTTGCCTTAGCCGTTCATCTTTTTTCCACATGCTTCTCTTCTGAGCCAGTCTCCCAGTTTTGCCCACTCTGCATTTCTTTTTCTCAAACTACCAAATACACAACATCTGATCTAGTTAATGAATTGCCATTAACATGGTGTACCTGCTGGGTAGAGCTCTAGCTCTAAACCAACTCCTGTTCTCAGGGTCATATATTAGTCCTAGACCCAATTACCTGCAGATAAACTTTCAGGTGTTGCATGTAAAAACATGGTATAAAAAATGCATTAAAAAAATCCATAAAACAAAAAACTTCTAACCATCTTATTCAGGAAGTGATCAGAAAATGTACTCTAAGTCAAGTGCAGGGCAAGTCCTTTGAGGTTACTACCATCCCTGTTTTTCTACACAGTTAAATAACCTCAAAGTCACCTAGATTTAAGTGGAGCTCTTCTCAAAAAGAATGAACAATGATGGAATGACCTTAAAAATTGTATTCCACTTTATATTTAAAAGCTCTTGAATAGGGTAGTAGTGTCTCTGGTACAGTACTCCCTACTGTTAAGAGAAAACTAAGAGCAGTTGCTTCAGGCCTAAAGATAAGTCTCAAGGATCAGTAATTTGATTACTTTTAAATTCCATAAAATCCTTCAACTGAGTGCCTGTACTACAGTCTCCAGTGGGTAACGTGATATGAGACACCAGTGGAGACCTGATGTATCCATTAACTTAGGAGAAATAGTGGTCTCTGCAGCATACCACCTGGATTCAGAGGTCTGGAAAAAAGGCCTAATATCTGAAAATCATAAAAAAAAAAAAAAATCGAAGTTAGTATAAAACTGAGGAAAAACAAGCACACCAAGAAAATTTTATTGAGGAAACCAACAAACAAAAATTCCAAAATCCCTGGAGCCTAAATACTGCTATATTCCTCTTGGTCTTCTCCTTAAAAAAAAAAAAAAAATCAACTCCAAGTCAACATATCTGAATGACTCATTTGGAATTAGGAACACATTTCTGCTTGTCCTGTCCAAAGCACTCCGACACAGATCACATTATCCCTAAGGAACATGTCCGGTATTTGACCTTGGTAGTTCCAGAGTGTTCCACATACTGGAGCCAGGACATTTGAAAACTGTATTATGCAGCTCTTCTATCTGTCCTCTTGTTTATTTTCTATTACTTCAACTGAGATCTTAAAGGTAGTGCTTCACTCTTTCCCAGCTTGGCGACATCTGAGCATCTGTGGGGGGGAAACAATGTCTCACATTGGCTCTGGTATTAAACCATGAGTACTGTCACAATCACAGGAGCTTTGAGGACTCCTTCCCAATTAGGTCTGGAGAAAGACAATTTTTCTAAGTAAATGAGAAGTTTTTTTTTTGAGTTAGAGTCTCACTCCGTCGCCCAGACTGGAATGCAGTGGCACACTCCTGACCACCGCAGCCTCTAGCTGCTGGGTTCCGGCGATCCTTCCACCTCAGCCTTCCAAGTAGCCGGAACTACAGGTGCACACTACCACGCCTGGCTAGTTTTTGATTTATTGTAGAGATGAGGTCTCGCCAAGTTGCCCAGGCGGGTCTCGAACCACACATTCAGGCAATGCACTTGCCTTGGCCTCCCAAAGTGCTTGGGATTACAGGCTGAGCCACCAAGCCCAGCCCAACTTGAGAAGTTTTAAAGCACTTTCAAAGTATGTACATATATAAATTTTATGTCATCTAAATCTGTCTTTTTTCAGTATATTCCCTCAAAAATATTTTAGTGTACATAAATTTAAAAATCAAAGTGTCTGAAAAACCACGTAAATATGTATTATCTATGTATAGAGATCTGTAATTGACCCTATATCTGTATATATATATATTTTGTTTGTCTGTTCGTTTAAAGATGCAGGGCACAATTCAGGGTTAGGTATACAAATGATCATTGTACAGGTAATGTTTGGGCCTCACTTTGGTCCCCACTTCACCTGGTTTGAGATCAGGTATCCTTATTGACGAAGCATGCCCCCCTCCTCTTCCCTGGCAGTTTCCCACTACTGCCAATCCCTTTTTTGTAGTATTATGATAATTGATCAGGGTCCACTTATGTGACTGTATTTTTAAAGCTACAAATGAAATGACAATGAAACACAAATGAAATCCAGTTTTCCACTGTTAGGGTACTTGTCAAGTCTAAGCATGTTGGAATAATAGGAAATGGATAATATGGCATGAGCCCCAGAGTAAGACAGACTTGCCCTCAAATCACCATTCTACACTTGGACACAGTACTTAACCTCTTATATCCTCAGTTTCTGTATCTGTAACATGGAATCACAACAATCTTGACTCCCAGTCTTTGTGACGATTACTGCAAGTTTGCATGTAAAGCCATTAATAAGTACTTGGCAAATGCTAAGATAATTATAATGAGGATTAAAACAATATCATTAACTACAAGCTAACAACTAACATTTTAAATTAAAAAAAAATTTAGAGATAGAACAGAAGATTTTCTTTGAATGGAATTCTTACATATATATCTGTCATCATTTCTGTACAGATTCAAAACCTTTGTGTGCAGCAATAATTAATATACTTATTCTAATTTTTCTAATTTATATTATAGACATGTCTATATTAAATAATTCCAATTTATTTAGGTAATAGTTACAGTATTTAGTAGAAATGTTTCACATTTTCTACTACTGAGAGATTTCAACAAGCAACATGGGTTTTGATTTTTGTTATGCTTGTTTTAGTCACAGCTATCTTTGAAAGATACCATCACATTCATTGCTAAACATTTCTAGCATTACAAATATCCCTTCCCATCTCTCTCTTTTTTATAAAACTAAGCTAGGAAAAATGTTAGATTATTCAATACTGGGTGGACAATGTTTTGAACCATTACCCATGCATATGGTCAATGCATATGGTCACAACAACCTAAGAAATAAGGCTTTATCTTGTTTTACTTTGTCATGCTTGCTGTTTAGTGGTCAAGTAAGGCAAAGGACTAAGTAAAGAGAAAATCTGTGGCTCTTGTGTATTAGAATTGTGAACTAAATACTTCAAAAACTCCCATTGTTCAAGCAATCCTAGTACCCAATCTTCAGTGGACTGATCTGTATGTCTTTCAGGCAGAACTGGTTTCCAACTCACCTGATACTGTCCAAAAAGAACTTTCTAAACTATTAATGGAATCATGCTAAACTCCATCAACAGTTCCTGGTCAACTAAGAAAAAAATCTGAACTCTTCAACATGGCAAAGGGGCCCTTCATTATCTGGCTCTGAACTAATCTTCCCAAAATTCTCCCTAACATCCTGACATAACCACATTTCCCCAAACACATCACAGATTCACTTACACGAAGGTGTCTAAATCTCAGCAATATTAACATTGTGGCCCCCATAAATTCTTTGTTGCTGGGCTGTCCTTTCCATTATCAGGGTTTAGCAACATCCTTTGCCCATACCCACTAGATGTCAGTAGCATGCACATACCCTTCACCCCCAGACATGACAATCCAAACTGTCTCCAGACATTGCCAAATACCCCTTCAGGGGTAAAATCACTCCAGCTGAGAATCAAGGACTTACAACCTTGACTCTACATATGAACATGTGTTCATCTCTTGCTAAACAGCTCCTACCTTTTTCCTTTACCCTGTCCCAGAAATTCTCCACTGGGTTAACTTTCTTGAACTTGAAACCCGAGCTCAGCTTTCATCTTTTCCATGAAGCCCTCTCTATTCCAAGAGGGATAACTAAAAAAGGCCAATGGACCTTTTTCTGGGTATTCTGAGTACTTTGCACTTAATCCATAGTCAAACACCAAACATTTGAATAAGTACTATCTTCCCTACTAGACTGCTCTGTTAAGTGTTGAGATTGAGTTTGGCCAATACATCTCTAGCACCTAGTACAATATATCTAACAAAGCAGGTGCTCAAAAAATGATTATGAAGCCAATGGATGAAAAGTTAAAAAATATTCAATAATAATCAGGGTAGCTAAGAAAAAACAGTAGTCACATAAGCAGTTCAGTTTAATGCTTTTGAATTTTAGAAACATTTTGTAACCGCATATTCCATCAGTGGTCAGGTCTAGTTTTTGTAAAAAGATAAAACAAGTAGGAAATAAAGAACAAGGAACTAACTCACAGCTTGTAAGTACCGGAAAGACAAGATGGGGCCACTTAATGCACCACAAGCATTATAGTCTTCAAAGTCTCCTTCTTCAAGCAGGAATTGCTGGCCTTTAAAATGTTCTTTTTCATAGGCAACCCATCTAAAAATATAGAGGACACTCAATTCATCCATTAATAAAATTGTAGTCAAGAAAGCAAAAAAAAAAAAAAAACAAAACAGGTATGATAACACTCATAGTGGCTCATTTCCAGAGTCTAAAAAGCAACACATTTGCTTTGCTCCCATTTACAAACATAGACAAATGGGGTGTGCTTCATGGATCAATAACTTTTACAGTTTGGAGGCTTTTCCCAACAAAAGACTAATTGTAAACCACAATAGAGTAACACTCATTCAATGTTTGTGGTATGCCTTGATACCACAACTCAGCGTGGTCAGAGAATAAACTGCCAAGTAAAAATAATAGACAGCCCATATAGCCAATGAGAAGAGATATAAGTTCACACTGAGATCCAAAGATAATCACTTTCATTTACTAATTAAGCTCTCTGGGAACCCCTCACCAGGCTTCAGATCCAAAGACACAATACAGAAAAGATCAGCAAAGAGCAACCGGGAGAGCAACTGAACTGGTATCAGCCCTGGTGCCCTACACGTATACATAGACTTCTGTGGATACTTACAGGTGGAAAATGTTGGTCGCATCACTTTCTTGACTTCTAATCTAAAAAAAATCCTGATCAATACCATCAGTTGTTAAACTCCTCCATGAAACTGACTTTTTTTAAATAGAGTAATCCACAGTATCTTATGTAATGTGGCACAGATCTTTTATAAAACAAGCTGACTTGTTTAAATCTGCCTTCAACTGCACTATGTAGTTGCAGGGGACCCTCTCCAATTAGGCAGATTCCAAGGATGACTATTCTTGGAGCTCCAGGTTTAGGGACTTCAGAATTCAGGAGCTTGGTAAAAGGAAGGCTAGGAGGACTGCCTACTATGGTTCTTTCTTTTTCTACCTCTACTGTGGCTGTGAAGATGTAAAACAATGTTCCAAAAAGTTGTTTTCACAGGGCACAAAACAACAGTAGCCATTCAGAATTAAGAATCCCTCCTTTCTACCTATGTATAACTGATTTATGAGGGAGAGCCTACATGGGTTAGAATAAATTTATTTAGATATCCTAAAATATTGGTAATATGCAAAGAAGCTAATATTATTTTATTCTTAAACTATTACATGAAAATAAATTTCACAAAACAACTTTTAAATTCTAAGTTTTCCTTTAAATAAATATGGCTACCCAAAACATGCTTTTAATTATACTTGAATGAGAAAAAAATAAAAGATATAGAAGACTTTAATGTCAAAAATTTGTAAGTCTATCATATAATGACAGTCCAAAAATCATCAGCCCAGTTTTTCTTTTTCTTTTTTGAGCTGGAGTCTCACTCTGTCGCCCAGACTGGAGTGCAGTGGCTGCTCCCGGCCACCGCAGCCTCGACCTGCTGGGCTCCGGCGATCCTACCGCCTCAGCCTTCCGAGTAGCTGGAACTACAGGCACACGCTACAACGCCCGGCTCATTTTTTGATTTATTGTAGAGATGAGGTCTCGCCAAGTTGCCCAGGCGGGTCTCGAAACTGTGGGCTCAGGCAATCCACTCACCTCAGCCTCCCAAAGGCGTGGGATTACAGGCTGAGCCACCGAGCCCGGCCCAGTTTTTCTTAATAGACTAAGTTTTTATTAAGATTCAGTTGATGTATCCATCTGGAATATTTAAAAATAGGTGTTATGTGGAAAAAAAAAATTCAAGAAAAATCAACTTTATTTTCCTCAGATTTCTTAAGACAGAACAGGGATAAAGATGAATTCATGGTGCCTAGAGATAAAGTTAAACAGCTACCAAAAGCAAAAGGTGGTAGGAATGGTGAAAAAATAACGCAGTTAGCTATTTATCTTTAAATAGGAACACTGCATTTTTTTTTACCTGCAGTTGTCATATAAAAATGAAAGCATATATACTGTATTATAAGTCATATTTCCTTGAGAACTTCACAAAATAGCTATAAAATGTTTAGAGAACAATGCACATCACATTGAATTTTAGTAGATAATTTTCTGTAATGCAGAAAACTAGCTTAAATTCAATCTAGCTAATAGAAAAAACATTTAGATCCCAAAGGGAGGAAAAGGCAAAAATATTTTACAGCAGGGTTAACAAGAAGCATGTGTGTTCACAAACCAGAGAATACTGTAAATAAGTATAACACAATAAACATGTGTTCATCTAAATCATATTTGTTCTTCAAGCCACAAATAATTTATTTAGTTATTTTTTTTTTTTGAGTTGGAGTCTCACTCGGTTGCCCAGACTGGAGTGCAGTGGCCGCTCCCAGCCACCGCAGCCTCGCCTGCTGGGCTCCGGCGAGCCTTCTGCCTCAGCCTTCTGAGTAGCCGGAATTACAGGCATGCGCTACCACACCCAGCTGATTTTTTGATTTATTGTAGAGATGAGGTCTCGCTGCCCAGGCAGGTCTGGAACCTGCGGGCTCAGGCAATCCACTCACCTCAGCCTCCCAAAGGCGCGGGATTACAGGCTGAGCCACCAAGCCCGGCTACACAAATAAATTTTTAAAATTCAAGGACAAGGCATTAAATGGTTACTAAGTCGTCAGATTAATAATTGATATGACCTACATATGAAGGTTATATAGTCTCTCATATTTCCATTTTAGCTGGTATGGCTATCACCTAATTTATTACCAAAAATTGCAAAGTCTAAGTCTCTAAATATGGCCCTTTGAATGATCTTAGTTAACTCACTTAACTTCTATGGGTAAAATATTTTAGTAACATCTTTTGCTAGGGTAGCATGAACAAATATAGAATATTACTGTAAGTATCAAGAGTTACTAATGCTTAAATTAAAGCAAACTAATTCTAAAATAATCAGTGTATCAACAGAGAAACAACAGAATGTTTCTGGAGGGATTCCATACTGGATTGACAATGACAAGCTATGAGGAAAGTTTCTTCTCCATGTTTTTTACCTTCCAGGATACAAATAAAAAGCATATCCCAGCCTGATCAGATATTTTGGGATTTCTGCCCCAATAACTGCCTATTAGCACTGGGAAGGTAGCAAACTTGGGTTTATACTCAGGTGTTCTTAGAAGGCTTCTGCAAAAGCAGGTCAGGGTTAGAGTGAATCCAGTGTCAAAAATTCTTGACTCTGGAAATATACAACTCACACTACTTCTTTAATGATGAGGGGCTCACTGCCAAGGTCCTTGGCACATAAGTCGACTAAGAGCAACAGAATAGAGGATAAAATTAGGGTTCTCATTCATATTCATAACCTGTGGAAAAAATAATTATATCCTGCAATTCTTGTTTTTTATACTGTGTTTGGATATACTGTGTTGAAGTTTTAGAAACTATTTCCCACATTTAGTCTACCACAAAATCTTTAATACCAACAAGAGTCCACAGAGAGCCATAACTAATATTTTTTACTTTCTGTATTACAGAGGGAATGTATAATTTTAAATTAAGGTTTTTTTGCTCTGCTTAGCATTTTTGTGATCTTCACAGACTACTAACTCAAATATTGAAAATATGAAACACTCACACTCCACCGATGACACGAATTGATCCAATTCCATGAAAGTCTTTATCGTTTTTCAAGAAATCAGGGACAGAATCTATATGCTCACTAAACTCTTTGGCTTGTCCATGAAAATGTGGTTTTTCATAAATAATAACCTGAAAAATAAAACAAAATATGTAACATGCTCATGTTTTAGAGAAGATAGATACTGATTTACTTAAGTGATGCCAAAGACCACAACATGAATAGGGACCACTGTTTGTTGTTGCTGTTGCTTTTTCATTAATATGAGGGGATTTCAAAAAGTTCATGAAAATGCATATTATAAAAAACACTGCACAGATTTCAAAAATTTTTTTGCATAAAGTCAAGTCACACTAACTTGTTATAACATGTCTGAACAGCATGTACTTTGAGGCACTAGGAAGAATAAGACATCAGTTTGGAAAGAGTCTCTATCAGGGCAACATGAATTCTGCTAAAATTGAAGTGAGAATATCAAATTTATGTGAAAGAATGGTGAAATCATTGATGCTTTATGAAAAGTTTATGTGGACAATGTCCCAAAGAAATCAGCAGCTTACAAATGGATAACTCCTTTTAAGACGAGACAAGATGACGCTGAAGATGAAGCCCGAAGAAGCAGACCATCACATTCATTTGTGAAGAAAAAAAAAATTCATCCTGTTTGTGCCCTAACTGAACAGGACTGACAACTAACAGTAGAAACAATAGCCAATATCACAGACATCTCAACAAGTTCCACTTACATGATTCTGTCTAAAAAAAACTTTCCACTCAAGGAGTGCCAAAACTATTGCACCCAGATTAGCTGCAGACAAGAGCAGAGCTGTCAATGGACATTTAAAATAAGTGGGATCAAGATCCTGAAGCAGCTCTTTGAAGAATGATAATAGGAGATGAATCATGGCATGGCCCGTACAACACTGAAGGCACAGAACAATCAAAGCAATGGCTACCAAGAAGCAGTACTGGTCTTGTCCAAGCAAAAGCAGACCAATCAAGAGCAAAGGTCATGGAAACATTTTTCGTGGATGTTCAAGACATTCTGCTTGTTGACTTTCTGGAAGGCCCAAGAATGATAACATCTGCTGACTATGAGAGTGTTTTGAGAAAGTTAGTCAAAGTGTTAGCAGAAAAATGCCCTGAAAAGCTTTACCAGACAGTCCTCTTCCACCAGAGCAATGTTCCTGCTCATTCTTTCCATCAAACGAGGGAAATTTTGTGAGAGTTTTGATGGGAAATCCTCATAGTTCTGACTTAGCTCCTTCTTACTTTTGTTTTCTAACCTTAAAGAAAAAAAGGGCACTCAAGCTTCATCAGAGTGTCCTTCTCTAGCACAACAATGCTCCTGCTCATTCCTCCCATCAAACTAGGGCAGTTTTTCCAGAGTTTCGAAGGGAAATCATTAGATATTCACCTTACAGACCTGATTTGGCTCCTTCTGACTTCTTTTGGTTTGCTAATCTTAAAAGAAATTCTGTAAAGGGCACCATTTTTTTTCAGTGAATAATGTAAAGGAGACTGCATTGACATGGTTAAACTCCCAGAAACCTCAGTCCTTTAGGGATGAACTAAATGTCTGGTATCATCATGTATAAAAGCATCTTGACATTCATGGAGCTTATGTTAAGAAATAAATCCAATTTTTCCACAAACGTTTTGAAGTCCCCTCATATACACTTACAACATAACACAGGGTCTGATATTCACAAGGAATCTATGGGTTCTTATCATCATAATGGTAAATATCTTATTTAATACTTTGTTTCTCTCATATTAATATACTTGAATATGATTACACTGTTCTGATCATCCAAATCCTAGGAACAACTTATAGGGTAAACTGTCTTATACCTGATTCCTGAATTGTCTTTATAAATTAATCTCTATGTTTGGAATTCAATGATGTCTTATATTTATTAAATTTCTCCTATAAAAAATAAAAAATTTCTTCAGGTTCCAGAGTATAATGATAAATTATCTATTATTTGAGAAAATACATACTATTTTTTTTTTTTTTGAGTTGGAGTCTCACTCTGTCGCCCAAACTGGAGTGCAGTGGCATGCTCCCGGCCACCGCAACCTCGACCTGCTGGGCTCCGGCGATCCTTCTGCCTCAGTCTTCCATGTAGCTGGAACTACAGGTGCACGCTACCATGCCCGGCTAATTTTTTCATTTATTGTAGAGATGAGGTCTCGAAGTTGCCCAGGCGGGTCTCGAACCCTCAGGCTCAGGCAGTTCACTCACCTCGGCCTCCCAAAGCACAGGATTACAGGCTGAGCCACCAAGCCCAGTCTCATACTATTTCTTATAACACTAACTGTTTCTATGGTCTTTATTATTCATTGTAAAGAATAGTAAAATAATAGTAAAAAAAATAGATATGCAAAATCTTGAATTTAAATATAAAACTTTCTAAAATAAATTATTGAAAAATTATAACTGTTAATTGAATATTTGATTTAAATTGAGGGGATGCAAAAGCATTGTTGTAGGAACAAATTTCTAGCATTTTATTTACTTTAAATTTGGATTGGAACAATATTTCCCTTCTACTATTTTGCTGTTTTTTACTTCTCAGCTGCCCTGAGTATGTAGAAAGGATAACAGTGATAATAGCATTAATCTCTTCATACTCTATCACTTGGTTCCATTGGTGGTTAGTGGAATAATTTGTGCACAACTGGCAACCCAATATCTTGGCAAATAAGACCGCATGCTTAAAAACACTAAGCCAAAAAGTTATAGTTTCCTTATCTCTGAAAACTAATAATATTATACAAAAAATAAGTAGTACCGACCCTGCTGTTTTCTACATATTAGATTTTCACAGTGTGCTATATTTAAAGTGATAAAGTTTTATTTGGATTTAATGCATGCTATATACGTTGACAGCATTCAAACTAAGAAGCAGCAATTTGCAACAATTCTTTGATGAACAAGTCATAAATTAACAACAAACTTCCAAGTTGGGATTATCTGTGATAACTAGTCCATTCATATACACCTAAAATCTGTCAAACTGCAAATGTCCAAAGAAGACCCAGCCCATCATGATCAAAGTTCTGATTCACCAGCCTGGGAGTTTGAGACAGGGGTCCCTCAGAAAGTAACACAGTTAATACTACATCTTTAGGTTAGTGATTTGCAACTTTGAATGCATGTTAGAATCACCTAGGAATCTTTGAAAATTTTTGATCACATCCCAAACCAAAACAGTATCTCTGAGAGTGAAGCCTACACTTAAGTATATTTTAAAACTCCAATGTTTATGATTCCAACGTCAGTCCAGGTGTATTAGATGTATCTATTTTTAAAGAATCCTTCTATGTGATTGAGAGGATGGCAATCGGTTCCATACATTAGGAAGCCCCGGGATGGGAGAGTTAGAGCAGGCATGTCTTGTTTTGGAGGAGGAAAGTATACATAAGTCGCTGCTTCCAGACCTGTTGCTGCAGGGGTTAATAACCTAACAAGGAGGGCTGTTTGCATCTTTGATCGTTGCACTGGTTTTTCCTTCTCTCTCTCTTACATACATTTTGTAATTCTATTTTCTCCTTTCTTCCTCAAAATGTGCTTGATCCTGGCACCACTGCCACCCAGTTTTTCCTGACTCTACTCTTCACATCAGATACTCATGCCTAGAAACTGGCATCTGTCTGGTAAGCGCTGTCCACAACTCCTGATAAGCCTTGATTCCTTTCCTGAGCATCACTCCCAAATGCTGCCCAACAGCTCCACTTGAATAACTAACTGCTATCTCAAGCCCCCTATCCCCCAAACCAAAAAATCAAGCCTATCACCTTCCGACCCCAGAGCAGACACTTAACGGGTGTAACTGGGCTGTCAATATTGATCCCCATCTTTGCAGACAGAACCCACTCATTCACAGACACACGGTGGGCCCTCAGCGCTCACTTCCCACCACTCTGATGGCCATTAGCTAGGCATCATCATATGTCGGGGTTTTTTTTCACTCCATTAGTTCAAAATGCTTAAATCCTGAGACTTTGTAGGCTGCTGTAGAAGTCTGTTCAACACTTACCTTTAAGTTCATAGGCATTTCCACTTTCAGTCCACCCTTGAGATGACAAAATAGTTTAATATTAGATATGTAAACACTTAAAATGTTTGGAAGGAATCATTGAAAGTGACATATGTTGGTTATATAAAAATCTATTAGTCAAGATTGCATACCAGTCAAATTTAAGTTGTAGTAAATTCTGAAATTTAATTACATAACTCCATAGTAGTCAAAATTAAGCCAGACTGTTCTACACCAAGGCAGATGGGACAAGAAATTCTGAAAAGGTATTTTCCTGATTACAACTACTGCGAGGAAGGAAATTGAGCTTTGGTCCCTGAGCACACATGATCAATTAAGGTTCAGTCCCACTGTACTGTCCCAGAATAGAATTGCTAGGAGACTCAGAAATCTCATTTGGCAGTCAGTTAATCCAAATGTCTATGTACAATTACTTGGGCTTTCTAGATTTGAGCCCCGAACTCACCACACACTTCCCCTTCCCAGTTCTACGATCAGTTTTTAATCACACATACTATCTTTGTGACCTCAAAGTTATATAGCATAAAAACTCCTTCCTTACAAAAGCCCTACAGTTCTACAATCTTTTTGTTACAAAAGCTACTCCATATTGTGATATTTCTTAAAGTTTCTTAGTTTGTCTGAGTTTCTATTTTTTAAAGGCATACAACAACCAAAAATGGCTGATCACCCAGCCAACATTTAATTGAACAGCTTACCCCTCAAATAAACATGTTTGCAATAAAAAGAAATATTGTGACTACTGAAGGCACTTATTATCTTTAAGAAAGTAAACACTGACAGAACTACTCATTTATTATTAATGCTGAGCTTATCATTCATGACTGTAGTGGAAGAGTATAGTTTACTACACTTAATTTTCTAAGAACCATCCACAAAACAAATTCAGAACTTTATGAAATATTCAGAATTTTCACAGAACAATACTTATAAGGAAGCTGCTTGTTCTGTGTTAAACTTGGCACAACACAAAGTAAATTCTGATATGTCACATGTATTTGCTATAATATAAAGAAACAGGAAATGAACATATAAATAGTTTGTCAATTAAATAGTGCACACATTCATTTTTCGAGGCAGAGCTACCTGAACAATCCTCACAGCTATTTAATTTTTAATTCATAGGTACCATGGAACAGGATGCTTCTTTTAAAATGTGCTTACCATTTGAAGAGGATGCAATGATTTCATTTCTGCTGCAGAAATCTCAAAGAGGCCCTGGTCTTCCTCTAAAACTGTAGCTTGCCCCTTAAAATTAATATCTGGATAGGCAAGCCAACTAAATAAGAAATAAAAAGTTGATTAAGGTCTAATAGTAATACTTTAGTCTGATTCAGTAAGAGTAAAAAGATCTACCAAAAAAAAAAAAATCCCGCATCACAGAATTACACAAGCAATACATACTCAAAGTGATTAGCCAGACAGTATATAACGAGAGTTAACATGTAAAGTGTTTACATGCGCAAACTATCTATCCTATAATAAGTCTACTAAGTTTTCCAAGTGCTAAGCATTACTTTTCTTATAATTTTCCAATACTAAAAACACATGGAGCCTTTAATTCAAGCAGGAAATAATTTTATCATTCTACTATATTCCATTCTTTTTTAAACTGGAGCAGAGGTAATGATTCCAGTAGGCATTTTACATTTTGAGCCACATTTTTAGAATCAATACTAGTTCTATAGGTCTAAGGAACAGTATTTGAAATAAGATTCTCACAAGACCCATCTATCTTCCAGCAAAGCTTGATAATTACAGACATTTCTCATGAATAGGGCCAATTACTGGGCCTGCTAAAGAGTTCTAATTCATGATTGGAGGAAATAAAAAAGGAAGTCCTATAGTGACCCCCAAACTGTACCCAGTCCCACAGTCCTACAGATACCTTTGGAATCAGAGAGGCCTAGTATCAAAAAATCTGTGCTTAGTAGCCTGGGACAAATCACTCATCTACAATATAAGGGTAACACCACCTGCCTTGCAGGAATAGAGGAGTAATAAACAAAAAAAAAGTGACATATGCCTGGTACTGCAGAGGCATTCAACAACTATTACCACATAGACACCCAGAAATAGTTCAGGCTCCAGAATTTGAGGCCAGGGACATATTTTATTTATTTCTCTACCGCAAAATTTGTTAGATGGGAAGACAAAGGATCCATCTGTCAAGAACTACATCTGGGAGTTCTATACCTGCTCCCATGAGGCAAACATCAAAGTTTTTATTGGCTCCAAAGAAAGAATCTGCTTTAACCCCTGCAGGAGTATTTCTTGGGTATAAGCAAAATTAGCTAAAAACTACAGAAATATCTATATCACCTATTGAAATGGAAAATAAAAAGTTAACTTTGGTGGCCATCAATCACTAGAATAAAAAGAAACTGATACATACACTCCTGATTTCACAGTGAAGGTCACAGATTTGGGGATATTCAGTTCTTCCAAGTTGGGGACTGCTTGCTGTATGTAGGTAGGACAAGAGGATGGGTCAGACTGTGGGCAAAGCTCTATCTCTGGAATGCTGCAATCCTGAAAAAAAAAAAAAAAAAGCAATTTGGCTTTCAAATCATCTAGAGACACAGAGTCTAGTATTCTCAATGCCATGGACAGACACTTACAATTATTCTCATTGTTCAGTTGAATGTTGTCACAAAAACAACATAAAGAAGATATTGTTTCTCTTTGCCCATTTTTTAAAATAAAAATTTTTCTAAAGAATCATGTTAATAACATGAATATTATTAATGTTATTAGTGGGAAAATGATAGCCCCAATTTTTTCTGCCTTTGTTTTGTAAATACTTGTTCCAGTAAGCAGTGCTCAGAGTTACACTCAAATGTGCTTCATATCTGTAAGCCTCCCTTCTTAGAAGCATAACAAAGCCATACAGGAGGAAGAGAGTTAAATAAACGCTGATCTCATGGGGGACATAAAAAATAAATAGAGTCCCCGCCCCCTTAAGTGTGTTTATCTAATTTACTTTGACAAAAGAAGTAGGAATTAGAGGTGAGTGTAAAGGAAATCTGTTTTCCGACTCACAAGACTCTACTTTTTTTTTTTTTTAGTGCAAATTGGTTTGAATAAGAAAAGCATGAAGTTGACCCTATACTCTATCGCAGTCTTAAAAAAATTATGCACACACTGTCACTATGTACTCCCAGATCTTCTTTTAAAATTTCACTTGTGTATATCTCTTCTCACCTATTTCTATGGTCACAGTCCCTGGTCAGGCCCAGACTTTGCTTATGGGCCTACTCACAACCAGCAGTCAAGCACTAGTTACTACTCTTTATATAGCTGAGCTTGTTTAGAACACATTTCTCAGGACTCTATTTGGTAAGACCCAATCATATCAAATTCATATTTCTGTTTGTCTTCCTACAACAGGGCACCAAACGAGTGAGCCACACTCACTTCCAACACTCTGCAGTCACACTAGTCTCCATGCTCTCTCCACCCCCACTGTGGCCTCTGCAAACTTTGTTGATCCCCCCCACCTCAACTAATAAAATAATTCTTTGTACTCTTAATTATGAAAATCTCTTATAAAAGTCAAGTTCTAACTAAAAAAAACCAAAAAACCTCATCCTTTCTTAGGGAATCAAAATCACAATTGTTTTCCCCTTCTGTGAAATTACAGGTGCACTTCTGCCTGAACACACAATGTATCTCATACTCATGGGTGCTTAATTATGCAACTCAAGTTTCTGCAGCATAATTCTCACCTACCATATTATGAAACTCAAATAATATGCTTTAATAAAATAGGTAAATGCAATAACAATCAGAAGTGCATTTATCAGAGACTGAACAATTGTGTTTCTTTTTAAGTTTTGCAATTTTAAAACTGCATTTTTCTGATTTTCCAGCCTTTCCTCAAACTGAATTCTTGATCAGTCTTATTAATTTGTAAAACTAAGCAAATTGATGCATCTCATTTTCAGAAAATTAGCTCTAAAGTGCAATATACTAAAGCAGTGTAATCTAAGATATCCTTTAAAGTACAACAGTATATTTCCTTCTAAAGTTTTATTTCAAAAATAAGCAGAAATGTCCAGTACAGTCACCTGTCAGTCTTCAAGGCTCTTTTGTATGCTATTCTAGTAACATTATTTCAAATACTGCCATATTAATGTTCCCCCAGGGATCTGAGGTACAGTAACAGAATACATAACTAAGTGTCTCACACAAACAAATTTCCTCTGCATTGTGTAGTACAAACAATGTTTGGGTGGTGTACTCTAAAAGGGAAAAGCTAAGAGGCATTCAAGTCTACAACAACACAGATGGAAATAACATAATAGAAACGCATAATGATCACTAAAAAATGAAAATAAACAAAAATGAGAAGGCATATGTTCTCACCTATCTTTACTAGAAGCCCCAATTTTTGTTCTAATTGACTGAAAAATACTTTACTGATAAGTTCTACCTTCTTCATGATGGCTAGTCACAGAAATAGCATCTTTCTTAAGACTTGCATAATTCTTAACGGATAAAGAAAGTCAAGCACTAGGAACCAAAGAGCACTTTACAGTAACCTAGCAACAATAAACAGTTTACTCTAAGTTTGCATGGTTTCCTCCCAGACTTTTCTAGTCATACTATACTTTACAAATACACTGGTGAAATTTTCATGCTTAGACCATTATGGCAAATAGTAAGACTGGAGACAGTTATAGGAGAGAAAGAGGGTAGCAATGAATTATGACTAACAAAAACAGGAAGACAATCTGTCTACACCTTACATAAGATACCTGCAGTACCTTACATAAGATGCCTGCTCTAATGACAGGCCTCTCTCTTCTTGGCTTATAAATGAGAATATAACTTAAGTTACTTCTGGCCCAAGGAAAACATCATACCTTTACAAAAATTATTAAATGCACAGTAAACATAGTGATTTGTAATACTTATTTATTCTAATTTTAGCAAAGAAAGCACCTGAGTCAAGATTCACTGCACTGCTACCTTCACACCCAATTATTTTCACTGGGGCAAAGATAATTTGAGTGTAATCTACAATTGCTGATAACTGAAGGTATTTGCCATATCCAATCAGAGCAAAATGAAGGCATCATGAAAGATTTATCTTTAAAGGACATTAATATTTTTGACTACACAGATGAGAGCAACTAAAATCAAGATGGACGAGATAAAGTTGGCATAGGCTGAGGTGAATTTGGCGTGGAAACAACCACTATGAAAGTGAAGCTATCAATAGGCAGAATTTTGACAAGGTTGGAAAAAGGAAGCAGTTGTATGCCTGATTATTACTTTGTAAAATATTAAGAACAATGCTAATGCCTCTTCCGTTAAATGCTCAATAGTTTTATTTTCCTTCCTCACTAAGAGTTGCTGGGCTGTTCAAGACACATAGACACTAATGTTGCAACTAAAAAAAAAAAATGATTCTAAGAGTGAACAATGGAAGAAGGAAAAAAGTACAGCATGACTTATTCTTTCTTATAATATATTTTAAGCAAAAGGTGGACGTGCAAACAACCATTCAAATAGCCACATTCACCAGACTGAATTTGTCTGATTTTATTGTTGTTTGATTTTAGGGGGGTTGAGAAGATGGCTGTTTGCCATATGTTATTCACTTTTTTCCTACTATCCCTGGCATGGTGCCTGATTTCACAAGGAAGACACAAAACCACAAGTTATATAAATCTCAGAAGATCCAAGTTTCAAATGAATTATTCATTTCAAGTAATTTCTAGAGTGTTAGCTAATTAAGTGTGCACTCAAATGCTGTCTGTAGAACCAAACTGGATGTAGTATTACATATTTCGATAATTAACTATTTCCAACATTAAATATTTCAAAGAAAATGGACATTGCTTTCTTCACTTTAGCCATCTTAATCTCTTGCAGTATATCAAGGCACTGATGCTCACCTCTGCCTCTGACAAAAGGGCTTTGCCAGGAAGGCCCTCACCCCTCCTAGTCCGCCTAACTCCTGTTTATCCTTGCAAGGTTCCAATCAGGCGCCCCCTCCTCCAGGTGAGCTGCCTCTTCCCAAGAGGTGAGGTGGGTCCCTCTTCTGTGATTACACAGGGTCCTACACAACACTTCTCACACCACATGAGCATGGAGCACAGATGTCTTTCCCCCAGGCTTTAAGCAACCTGAAGTAAGGGACCATATCTCACTTGTATTTCTAATCCCTGTGCCCACCACAGAATTGAGTCCAAAAGCAGACACAAATATTTCTTAGATATAGGTTTGCTTACAGTTTTGCAGAAAGTATTGATCCGCATAAAATACATGAAGGTACCCCTTTATGATAACTTGAGTTTGCAGTCATGCTACGTTTAATTTTTCTGTATGCTATGTGCCATTATCAAGAGTTGAATAACATCAATCCGTATCACCATGATAGGGTCCACCTCAACTTTTAATTTTTAAAGTATATAGATGAAATCTACGTAACTTAAAAAACATATATCCATGAGTCACTATACCGCATCATGCATTATGTTATGTTGAAGGGAATCTTAAAAATACACAGGAGGAGAATTCTGTCCTTATCTGAGATCTGTCCTTGACACCAATTCTTCCCTTCTCTACATCATCACAGAGCTTATTACAAATTTTTTTATGATGTTGGAAGGCCCTCCCCATCTTAGTATTAAATAATCTTTTCTAAGTAGGAAAAAAACACCTTCTCTTCCTCTTCCCACCCTCCCCTAATTTCCCATAACACACACATACACATATGCACACACACACGTGTGCAAACACACACACACCTACACTGAGTGGTAGCAATCTACACTAGAAAAATATATATTTGAAAATATTGGCTATTTTCCTAAGATTCCTGAATAGCATATTTCTAATATTATTTTTAAAAATATATAGTGCGTCACATACCATTTTATGAACCAGATTACAGTTAATATTTTAATTATCATCAATTCTAACATTTTATATATAAATTCAAGATTATAAATATGATAAAGAAAATTAGTAACATTAGCCCAAATATTAGCAACTATTTCTAAGCATTGCTAGGTCACAACACAGCTTTACTATATGACAAATATAACAAAATACAAAACAGGAGAAAAATTAACAATGGTTACCTTTAAGACACGTTTGATTGAACCCAATACAAAGTTTATCTGTGGATGCCTTCTGTTCTGCAGAATCCAGTCACGATTTAACACCTTTTCCCCTTCTTCTAATACACGTTTCTGACCCTGGAAATGTGGTTTCTCATATAAAATCCAGCTAAACAAACATAAGTGCAATTGTGAGTTATATTTAATTTTCTAAGAAATAAGGCATAAATGAGCAACACTTATAGACCATTTTACCTACTTAAATTTTTTAAACTGGGCTATCCTCTATTAATAGCAAATAATCTTATTTTTGAAATAATAATACAGGCTAATTTAAGTATAGATAAATAGTAAAAGAAAAAATAAAAGTGCATAAAATTTGGAAATAAAAATATTTCCTGAACATAGTACCATAATATGTGCCTATGTCTATATTAATGTATGCATGTACTTTATAAGTACTGTATACACAAAGCTATACATTCATATTCAAGACAACAGTTTAACAACTCCAAATTACACTTCTACCTTAACTGTCCTGTTGCTGGATAATCGAGGACATGTGTCTTACCCTGTTGTATGAAGACAACACTACACCATACTGTGTACAGTAGGAATATTGATCGGGCAACCTAAACACAGGACTGTGAAATTCTGGCTCCAGTGTGTCTATGTAACATGGTCCATAATAATAAATGAAATTTTCCCTCATTTTCAGACCATACAAAGTTTCCTTCATTCTGAGCATGTCAGCTATACGAGTGACTCTAACTATGTGGCCTTCAAATTCCTTAGCATCCCACAGAGTCTGAAATCATTTTCAAAGTTATGCTTCATTCAGCTGAAGCATTCAACTCGACTTGCCAAATCTATCCTGCTAATAATGCAATCACAGAATGATATTGATTTAATAGATTGCACATATTAGGTCTTGCAACTTACTGCTGGCTTCAAGCCCAAAAAAGACTATACTTTCTGCCATAGTAAATACAGAGGACAGTTAAGTTACGAAACAGTAATAACAATGCCTCAAACTATTCTCTCAAAAACTAGAGGAAAAATAATACAACTTTAATAAGAAATACAAAAACATAAACAGCAAGACGACACAACTTCAGAAAACATGCTCTACAATTTTAAGAGATGTCTTACCAGCCCCTTACAACTTTGATTAGAACCCCATTTGGAAAGGACCATGAAGTTGCATCAGGAATATCACAGTAGACTTCCTGTTTATATTTACTCTCATGAAGATCATAGATAACCATCTGCAACATATAGGAAGTAGGCACAATGACTAATTGTCAGAATGTATTTTATATTCTAAAATTCTTAGACTACAGAAAGCAAAATATTCTAAATACATAAAAGCAAATATTAATGTTAAATTCTCTAGTAAAATAGTAATTTTCTAAGTCAGCATTTATCTTAAACATCCTCAAAAGTAACCTTATTTTTCACCTTTTATGTTAGTCTACGGGAGAAAGTTATGCTTACCTTCCCAGGTCTTGGGTTACATCTCAACATTTGTTTGTCAACATTCTGAAATAACAACAGTGGAAAAACAAATCTTAAGAAATATCAGTGAAAAGGTGCATAGTTCACTTTCTTAGCAGTCATAAATACAAATTATCATGTATTTTACTTGGTGACCATTATGAGCAAAGGGTTTCTCTAGATACAAAGGATTCCAATGTACATATACAGGAAAATCAAGTGCTGTTTCTGCCTTCAAGAAGCACACAGCTTAGAAGGGGGAAATACATGATCACACTTGCACTTTCTAAATAGGGGACTAAGTTAAACCCACAGGTAAAATACAAAGAAAATGCCAGGTTACAGAAATGGCACCGGCCTGGAGGTGATGTGATGACACAGAGAGATTGGGAAGAAGCTTCTCTGAGGAAGTGGTAGTTAGAGGATCTTGAAAAACAGGATTTCAGTGGGTAAAAAAAATGTGGCAAGTTGGGGCAGGGATACTAGAGAACAAAATTCCAGGGAGGCAACCATCTTGAGACAAAGTACAGAGGTAGGAAACAGAGAGTGTGTAACCAGAGGATGGGGAGACATGGTTAGACAAAGTAGAACTTGGGGCTTGGGGCTTACAATGTGGAGTGAGGAGGTTCCACTTGATTGGTAGGCAAGGGGGAACCATGAAAGAAATACTTCTTCAAATCCCACCTATCTCTTTTCAAATGACTGCCTTGTGAGATTCTGGTTGGTCTTCAAGCATCATTAATTGCCACTAAGGTTGTTCAAGGTAAAGATACAAGCCTTAGGAATCTCCAAGAAAGTGCCTGGATCTTTGGAATGCCAGGAAGTCCACATTCAATAAATATTCTTTATTAGACATTTAAATATTTCCAAACCAAAGAAAAATGTAACTGAATTTCAAAACAGGTTCCAGCTGTAATGTTTTCAACTCTTTCTCTCTGAACTGGGCTGTTCACTGCCCTGCTTTGCAAGAACAACAACGTGAGCAACTATAAGAGGCTGCTGTCAAACACATACTTTCAAGTTTTACCCAACACAAATGTTTCCACAAGACACATAAGCTAAATGTAAAGTGACAATTTTCCCACATATAGTACCTTGAGAAATTTAGAATGCTGTCAGTTTCATTTAAAAAATATTATCAAAGGACTATAAAATAACTTCCTTCTCTATTATGCTTTTCAAATTCTGATCAATTTTGTTTTCTGGATGTAACAGTACAGCTAAGATACATGATATGATACACTTCAACCAAAGAATACATCTTATATTAAAAAAGAAAAAAAAACTTTGCACAACCTCAAAACACTGATTTTCTTAATAAGCCTCTAGATAATTTCATGACTGAAGCTTTACTTCACTAGTTAATAATCAAAATAACTTACCAGTATGAAGGGGCTCAATCTGCCTGGGTTATCTTGAACACGGAAATACTGTGATACTGGTTCCTGAAAAATTCCACCAAATCTGGCTCCTTTTTCTGAGGGATGAGTTTTAGAAGTCTGCAAATACTGATGATAAGCACTCTTTAAAGAAGAATGTAGTTTAGAAGTAAGGTCAGATTTTTGGAGACATGAGGTCTTTTCTGGCCACAGACCAATTTGCAGACTGGAGGTAGTAGGTTCATTTGACATCACATACGAGTTCTTAGAAATTCCAGTGCCTTCCTGGTCATCCTCAGGATAAAATGTGATGGAAGGATCTGACAACTGGAAGGTAACATGCTCCCTCCTTCGAGCTCTCAGACCTCCTTTATGCAATGCTGCTTCCTCCTCCTCCCCCTCCTCTTCCTCCTCCTCCTCTTCTTCCCCTGCCTTTCTGCTGTCTTCATCAAAACTCATCTTTAAGCGCTCTGATACTGACTGGAGGAGAGATAAAACAGAGGAGGACTGGTTCTCACTGTCTCTTGACTTCCTGGAGCCATGGTGACCTGGTGAGGCCTCACTGGATAGAATGTCCTCCTGGGAGCTGTCATCCTCATAAATGGGAGATAGAGCTAAAGTATAAATCTTGTACTTTTTGGCCTCCACTGATAAGAACATTTCTGAACTATCACTATCAAATGTCTCACCTAGTTGTGTATCTTTTTCAAAGTGATGGACAAGGTCAGTTCTGCTCTCAGACCTTTCACAGACCAGAACAGGCATGTTGTCAGGGGACACATTGGGAAACAAGACAGACTGCGTTCTTCTTGCTTCTGCAGAGGGATACCTATCCTCATCTTGAAGGGGCTCTTCATATAATATAGTGAAGGAAGAGTTTTCTTGGTCATCCTGAGAAACAAAGGCTAAATTATACTCCTCTCTGTCATCGCTACAATCCCTCTCTCTCCTTTTGTTATATACCTTTGTAACAGACATTCTTTTATCTAGCCTTACTATGGTATCCTCAGATTGAAAATGTGGCAGTGCTAAGGCTGGGTAGCCCTCATAATCCTTACTTAATGTAGGTGACTCATACCCCCTGAAATGTGAGGCCAGTCTACTGTCATGCGCTATCAAGCCTTCCTCTATTTCAGTGGGCTCTTCCTTCATTTCTCCAACACTCCCTTCAGGATACTCTTGAAGTGCTTTGACAGTTTCAGACACAGGGGATATGGCCTCCTCTTGTGCAACAGTCAACTCCAGTCCTGTTCCATATGTTTTCTCAATGTCTACCACGGTGAGTAGACCTTCCCAATGCTTCCCAATATTACCACCAGAATCACCTGGGAATGTTTTTTCCATTTCTACCATAGAGGGCATGGACACCATCGTTCCAATAGTCTCTTTAGCATCCCTCTCACATGTCTTTTCCATTTCTAAGGAGCTGGGGGCTGCCTTCTTGTGTACTTCTTTCCCGTCTAGCACGGAAGGGACCATCTCAGTGTTCCTAACGACCTCTGTAGTAGCATTTTGGTAAGTAGTTTCCATTTCCAACACAGGTCTCTCAGTCTTTCTGGTGATTGCTTCAACATTTTTTTGGTAAATATTTACTACTTCTAATACAACAGGCATCAGCTTAGTTTTGGCACTATCTCTGTCAGTACCCTTTGGGTGAGTATTTTCCATTTCTAACCTCGCAGGTGTCACTTCAGCTTTTGCAATATCCCCATCAGCATCCTCCTGGTGAATATCTTCTATGTCTAACATAACAGGTATCACTTCAGCCTTTTCAGTAATCCCCTCACCATCTTTTTCCATTTCTGACATGGGTGTCACCCCAGTCTTGCCAACATCCCCTTCAGTACACTTTTGGTAAATATTTTCCAATTCTTTTGTAACAGGTGTCAGCTCAGTCTTTGCAATATCCCATTCAGCATCCTTCTGGTGAATACTTTTCACTTCCGACCTAACAGGCATCATCATCTCAGTTTTGCCAACATCCCCTTCGGTATCCTTCATCTTATAAGAGTCTTCCATTCCCAAAATGACAGGTAACCCCTCAGTTTTTTCAATACACCACTCAGTATCCATTTGACACGCTTCTCCCATTTTAAAAACACCAGCTCTTGGCTCAATTTTTGTGAGATTCATGTCAGCATCTGTCACATGTGCTCTTCTTCTTTCTAACATAGAAGGGACTGCCTCATGTTTCATAATATTCAATTCAGCATCCTTTTTGCTCGTTTCCCCCATTTCTAACATGAAAGGTATAAGCTCAATTTTTCCTATGGTTACTTCATTATCCTTTTTGTGTACTTTCCCTATTTCTGATGTCACAAGGGGTGTGTTTTTACCGTGCCCTGGCAAGCTTTTTTCAGATACACACACAAGACTATCAGACAAACTGCTTTTGGATGTACCAGGTGTATGGATGTCATCATTCACAAATGGAGGCCATTTGAAATTTAATACAAGAGTTCTTGCATCCTCAGTCCTGCCTTTGTGATTATCCCTACACTGTACTTCTGCTGCCTTTTTACAGTCCTCGTTGCAAAGCAAATGTGTTTCTACCCTATCATCTAACTCTTTATGTGGCAGGTCTTCCTCCAGGAAAACAGTATCTGATTCCTGCAAATTTATACTACCAAATTGTCCAGTTTCATCTCCAGAAAATGGGGGCTTCTGATAAAGAACCATTTCTCTTCCTTTAATTGACTCCGTGCCACTAACTAAGTCACTTACAGAGAAGAATTTACTTAATATTTTATTTTCACCGATTTCATGTGTGCTTTGATTTACTGCCTGTTCTGATATCAAGAGATCCCTAACCATATCATGTGGCTTAACACTATCACTGTTCAGAATTTTTGAAGTATTAGCCTGAAGTTCAGAATCCCAAGTATCCTCACTATGTTCATCAGCATCATTTATCAACTTCTCTTTGGCTGAATAAATAATCTTATTGACCATTTCCCGAGCTCGATCTTCTAATGAACAAGATACATTCATTCTATCAGAATCAAAAATGAGACTCTTCTCACCAACTGTAGGTGAAACACAGGCCTCCTTGTCTTCTCTGACTTCTGACATGCTTTCTGCACCATGCTCTTCCAAACACTCTGCTGGCTGGATCCCTGTTAATGTCACTTCTGGTGAGTTTTTCTCGGGAATGTCTTCTTTCAGGGTACCTGGATTCATTACACCATCTATGGCTGTATGCTCCTGGCAGGTACCAACTATGTGTTTGGATTTTAGTTCTTCCCTGGCAGAATTTAAAATCTCATCAGTCAATGTATCAGCCTTTTTGAGTAATCCACTTCTGAGGTCCAAAAGTTGGTCATGTGCTCTTTTCCCAGCTTCTATGTGCTCAGCAGATGCTTCAGAACACTGTGGGCTGGAGCTGTTAACTGACGCTGCAGCGCCAGCAACTGCTTCAGTCTCTGCTTCCAAGGGACTGTCAAACTGGGCAGCAGTTGGGAAATCAAGAGACCCCTTCAGAGGATGAATCCCAAAATGTTCCTGAGAAGGAGTCACTTCTGCCCCTATTGAGAGAGGTGTTTCAAGTTCCAAATAAGAGCTATTAGGGTACAGCAGGCTAGTTAAGGAGGTACCTTCATGAATGAGATCTTGGGTAACCTTTAAAGAATCAAAATTATTTGAAGGTGTATGTGAATTTATAAACAGACTAACTTCTTCAGAGTGACTAGAGGAGAAAGATACACTAACCATACCACTGCTTAGAAAATGAGTGTCCCCTTTCTCCTCTTTCTTTCTGTGAGACGAGGCTTTCTTTTCTGATCTCAGCACGGAAGGCATATTAAGAAGGCTTGAATTTTCAGATGCAAAAACATTTTTTTCCAGATTGATATCAGAACTCATAAAAGGTGAATTTACTTTGGTGCAATCCATTTCTTGGAATTCGGGGGAAATATTAGATAAGTTGAGTTCTGCCATTTCTGAGAAAACACAAATCTTTTTAGTCCCACACATCTTCAAAGATTGAAACATACAGGCGTTAGCTTCACAGTTCTGTGCCATTTGCCTAGTGACTGTCTCATCATGAACAGGCAGCACAACCCCAGATCTATTCCTTTCCAGAAGAGCAAGAGGACCGCCTAAGGCATCTACCTTCGTTTCTTGTATACCCTGATATTGGGAGACAGAAGGAGAAGCCTCGGTTTGGCACGTCTCTTTAAGGCCAGCATCTGGATATTTCTCTTTAATATCCTTATGATCCATAGATTGAAAACTTTTGTCCTGTGCAACCTCTACAGAATTTAACTCTGACAAAATAGGCTTCTCTGGCACAACAGTTCCTTTGAATGAAGAAGAAATTTTATCCTGAAAAACGTCCCTGGGCTCTGTTTGGGAAATAGGTACCTCGGACAAGGTTGTCATTTTTCCTCTTCCAGAATGTGACTCAACAGAAACACTGTTATGACCACTAACTTCAGCTTTTGATAAACTTTTAGCAATGTTATCAGTTTTGGTTTCCAAGGAAAAAGAGTAAGACTTCTCAGTTGTGTTCTTACTTGCTATAGTGTTTGAAGGCACTAACTCTGCCTTAATAGGGCCTTGAGATGAAATGGAACTGTGATCCTTAGAGAGGCTTCCAGGCTCAAAGCTCAGTGTCTCCATCCCAGTTAAGTGCATGCCACTGGCTTCGGGATGTAGAGGCACTCGGCGTTTTTCACTATCAGGAAGACTTTCCTTAGATTCAAGAACTGCAGATGCATGCTCAAGGTGAAGAGGAGAACACTTCCTGTCTATAGCCTCAGTGTGATTGGTGGCACTTTTTTCTTGACACCTACTAGGCTGACAGGAAATATCAGCAACGCTGACATTCCCAGTTTCAATAAGCAAAGAAGAACCCCCGTTCTTTAAAGCAGGAATATCCAGCTTGCACAGCATCTCAACTCCAGAAACAAAGGCAGGAGGTGAAGTATTGAAATTAGATTTTTTACAGTAAAGGGTAAGAGATGTTTTAGCATCATGTGAAACTTTGACTTGCTGAGGACTCTCAGAGTCAAGAAAAGATTCTGCAATGTGACTGCTGTTAAGTTCATAATTCAATTCAGGTGCTATTTTATTTTCTAAGCATGGTACAACTGCCGATTCACTGATGTAATTTACAGAGATTGCGTCTTTTTTATTTATGCCAATAATTTGAGGAATTCTGTCATGTGGCCCAAAATCAAGCTTTTTGGCTTCTGTTTCAAACAATTGGTCACTATCTTTGGGTAATGACTCCACTCTACCTACTGGAGCTTTTACATGACTTGAAGCTGTGGGTTCACCAGCTGAGGCACTTTCTGTTCCTTGTGTGATTTCTGTAACAGCCACATTTTTCTGTGAGTCTTGGGCAGACAACCTCTTTCCTTCATTTACAAGTTCTGAGTCTGTCACAGCATGTCTCTGAGGAGCAATGGCATTGGCATGATTGGCAGACTGCTTTGATGAGTTATCTATGGTCTGCTTGTCAGAACACTTACTTTCTGGCAACTGCAGATCTTCATGCCTAATTGACTTATCTGGACTTGGCAAATTTATCGTTTTCTGCTCAGTAGTGTCACTCCCATCAGATTTACTGCAAGAGAAGTCAAAAATAGCAGGGATCCGAGGCTCTTCTCTTTGCATCCATGTCCTGATACTCATCACAGAGCTATTTGCTTTCACAGTACTTTCTGCTGGAGTTACCTTCTGAAAATCTGGACTGCAAGGGACTTCACTACCGGTACTCTCTATAAACAATGTTGAACATACCAAATTTCTGTCAGTCTGAGAAACTGGTAGAGAACTTAAATGATGTTGTGGGTCAGATTGTCCAATAGAGTAGCTGGAGTTAGTCACAGATGAAGGGGATGGCCCATCTCTCTCAGAGCCACCAAAATTATCTTTATTTAAAAGATCCTTAGAAGAAGCAATGTCTTGCAGTTCTGGATTGTTTGCCAGATGGTTTTCTGTGTTGAGACTTATTTTGCTGCAGTCAGAGTTTTCTAACAGGCCTCCAAGCAAACATCCTTTCTTAGATGAGTCCGTGCCAGATGATGACAAGGATAGCAATACCTCAGCTTCAATCTCACCTGTAGGGCCAGCCTTTGTGTTTGTACTACAGTCCGAACTTTCATTTTTTCTGTCCAAGGTATTCACAGTTGTCAACATGGTCTGTTGTTTTAAATATTTCCTAATTTGTCTGGGGCCTCGATATGTCGCATATGTCACTGAAGGCCTCTCTGGTTTACCATCAATTTGTCTGTAAGAGGAAACAGCATGAGAGTGTCAGGAAATATAATAACACTTAATGGAAATCCCAGCAACCATGGTAAAGTATATCTTTCAAACACCCCTTGTCTTATATGTATTCATTTGGGGAGGAAATTCTAAGATGTTTTAGTGAAGTTTGCCTTTATTAAAAATAATAAGTTGACAAGCAGCATCTAAATGTTAAAGTAGCATGAAAAATATTTTAGCTCCTTAGAATTGTTCCTTCTGACCTGATACATACCTATCCCTGTCTGTAGTCAATGGAGAGGATGTGGGCTGATGAGTCCAAAGTTTGGGTTCTAGCTCTAATGTCAAAGGAGTATCTAACTAAGGGCCCACACTGACTTTGTGCCTCATGTTGGTACTAGTTTATGGCTACATCACTCTGATTTCTCCACCATATCAAAGCATCATAGTGAGCTTCTATGCTTTTACTCTTAGATGTGAATTTGAACAGCAGTGTTCAGCACATAAGTTGAGAACACTTTAAAGGAAAAACACACAGTAAGATGTCTAGCCCACAGTAAGCACTAGTATAGCTATGTTAACGCAATAAATGACAGAAATGCCTTTAAAACGTTCTTGTGTTCGGTTCTTCAAATACTGGATTAGTGTACTGAGTATTAAACTACTTAGGTAAATGTGAAATAAAAAAAGACTCCTAGATTAAGTAGAAAAGCAACTCTAGCACAGAGTTCCTGATGCTCTCAGCACTCACCTTCCCTTAGAGAAGCAGCCTCTGGGAGTTCTTATGCCACGCAGCCTTGCACCCATTACACACACTGTTCTCTGTACTTTAATTCCAGCACAAGAGAGAAGTTCTAATATCCTCTAAGACTTAGTTCACAAATCATCTCCAGTGGAAACCTAGCCCTCTACTACTAAGGACAGTTAGTCTCTGATCTGTAGAAGCAAGGAGCACAGAATTTGCCATGTTAAATCAAAGATCTACTCATTTATGTTCCCCACCAGCTTGGTGGCTATTTGATGGAAGACACTGTGTCTTAATCATCTTTGTATTTTTACATGCCCCAAAGATTTGGCAAATGACACGTTTAATACCCTTTTGTGAATTAATGAATAAGTAAAGCAATGATACTTAATGCTAAGCAATTAACTTCTGATTAGTGTCTTAATTCTTATCTGATGTGTATTCAACTTGACTTTTTCAGATTAAAGAAACCATTAACCAAAACATTATTCTAGAATACATATGAATAATTAATAAATCCAGTTATCAGTTTTCCATCACCTAAAAAATACATTTTATCACCAACTTGACAATTATGAGTGCTAGATTTGTCTATCTGATAAAATAGAAAGTAAACCTCTTCTGACTATAAAAACTTCATCTATTGTGTCTCTTATATACTTCTTGAATTTTAGCTGAAATAATTCATTTCAATCTATATAACTACCAGCCCCTAAAATATTAACACACCACACCACTACTGTAAAAAATTATGCTAGGGGTCGGGCTCGGTGGCTCAGCCTGTAATCCCAGCACTTTGGGAGGGCGAGGTGAGTGGATTGC